GGCCGCCGGGCCCCCGGAGACCCCCCGGGGGGGGGGGGGGGGTAACTCTTGGGCAGAGCCCCGAGGGCTGGGGCCCCTCTTCTTCCATCCCTCCCCCAGTCTGCGGCTAGGCACCGAGATCCCCCCCGGGGGTGTCCTTGCCCCTGATACAGCGCGGGATGTTCCCATGCGCATGAAGGAGGGAGTTAAGCGTATAGCACCCGGTATTCCCAGCACATCTCCCATCCAAGTACTAACCAGGCCTGACCCTGCTTAGCTTCCTAGACCAGGCAAGATCGGCATGTTCAGGGTGGTATGGAGGGGGAAGTCAAGTCAAAGCCCCTGCTGGTGGGGTCACGGAAGGAGCCCTTGTTGTGACCTGGGAGCAGGCTGGGTGCCTGACAAGAGCAGGGAGCCCAAGTCATGTCATGTGACACGGAAGCAGGGGTGCCATGAAGTACGCCCACCCCAGAGTGCAGAGTTTGGGCACCGATCAGTCCTGCCCCTTTGCCAACATCCCTATTCCCTCAGCCCCCAGTCAGCTGCCAGTTGCCATCAGGCGCCTTTATTTGATGGGCACTGGACCAAGTCAGCCCCATAGAAATGGTTCCCAGCAGGGGTATCTGCTATCAGCCAGAAAAGTGGGACTCCCCCAAAACTGGATGTGATCCTCAGTAGGGCGTTCTGCTGAAATCTCTAACAGGGTCTCTGCGCCCTGCACAGAGGAGAGGCCAGGCCCTGGTGAGCCAGACCCAGCCTAGGAACAGCAGAAGAGATGCTTGCAGCCTGCATCTGAGAAGGATGAGAACAGTGAGGGTCTGCAGGCCTTCCCTGCCCTTTCTAGGCCTCGTTGTGCTCTCAGGGCTCTGCAGTTGCACCCGGAGCTGTGAACACAGGGAGAGGAATTTCCTCACAGAGCTTGCTTTGCTCACTCCCAGCTGCAGCACCTGTCTCCTGCTCCCTGAGCCCCCCGATCTTGCATGTATTTAGCTCACAACGCTCCATTCTGCAGGGCAGGGCTATTGCACCCCTATTGTATAGCTGGGGAAGCAGAGGCACAGAGGGGCAATGTGAATTGCCCAAGGCAGGGACAGCAAGATCCGACCCACCACACCTTTGGGTCTGACCTGAGGTGTGTGCTCACAGGACCCTTAGGTAGGCTCCCTGCCTGCTGCAGTCCTTGGCTGCTCCTTCCCTCGGCCTTTCTGTGCCGTGCATGGCGAGGGGAGGCTTTGCATGCTGCCCCCACCTCCAAAACAGTCATGGCAGCTGGTTTCTGGCCAGCGGGAGCTGCGAGATTGGGCTGGGGGCAGAGGCAGCACTCAAAGCCTCCCCTCCCCTCGGGGCGTGGCATACATGGGCACAGGGAGGGAGTAGTTAGGAAGCCTCCCTGATGGTCCCACTAGGCTGCTGGCCAGGAGCCACCTAGGTAAGTGCCCCCCAACCAGAGTCTGCCTCTGGCATCCCACCCCTTCTCACACCCCAACCCTCTGTCTCCCTGCCCAGGGTCACCACCCAAACCCTCTGACTCCCCCCCTCCCCCAGGTCACAACTCCCTCCCGGACTCTGCACCCTCTCCTACACTCCTCCTCCAGGCCAGATTCCTCTCCTGCATCCATATCCTCTCCTGGAGCCTGCACCCCAATCCCCTGACCCAGGTCACAACCTCCTTCTTCTCCCAAGCTCCTTCTCAGACCCCACACTCTCCCCTACACCTTTGTCCCCTACCCTGATCTCCTTTCTGCACCCAACCTCTGTCCCAAACCTTGCATCCCCTCCAGAGAAAAGTGCAGCCCTTGGCCACTTACCAAATTCATGGCATGCCCCCCCCATCAAAAATCATTGCCCACTCCTGGCCGTGGGTCACATAGGAAGTCTGTGCCAGAGCAGGGAATCGAACTGGGGAAGGAACAGGGACACAGCTGAGTCACACCTAGAGCCCTGGACCTTTTTTCCATCCTGCCTCCTGATTTGCTTTGCCCCTGCCTGCTATTGCTGGGAGAGCTCGTTCTGCTTTGCTCTGGTTACTCCGAGAAATTGCATTTAGTTCCTTCTTTTCTTGGTCACTTCATTCTTTATTAATGCTCACGCCTCCATCCTCCTCCTTCCGCTCTGATTGTTTGGGTGGGCTTGAGAGTTTTTCCCGAAAGCTACCTGGAAACTGAATCATAGAGCTGGAAGAGACCTCAGGAGGTCATCAAATCCAGCTCCCTGCCAAAGGCAGAACCAATCCCGACTAAATCAACCCAGCCAGAGCATTGTCAAGCCGGGACTTAAAAACCTCTAGGGATGGAGATTCCACCACCTCCCTAGGTAACCTATTCGAGTGCTTCACCACCCTCCTAGTGAAATAGTTTTTCCTAATATCCAACGTACACCTCGCACACTGTAACTTGAGACCATTGCTCCTTGTTCTGCCATCCGTCACTACTGAGAACAGCCTCTCTTCAGCCTCTCTGGAACCTCCCTTCAGGAAGTTGAAGGCTGCTATCAAATCCCCCCCTCCCCCCCACTCTTCTCTTCTGCAGACTAAACAAACCCAAATCTCTCAGTCTTTCCTCATAGGTCGTGAAGCTAGAGCCAGAACAGCATGGGGTTCCCAACGTTCCCTTCTGATCAGCTGGGCCTGCACAGGGTGTGGCCAGGCCACACCATTTATGGAGAATTTGCAGGCCGAAGGGTCATTTTGAGGCTCAGAATCTTTTTAGCACAATTGATCTGCTGGCCCAACAAGATTGAGAGCATTTCCCTCCTGGATGGGTACGGACAGAGGCCTCTTCTGCATGTCTGAGCAGGGACAGTTCGCATGTTAGGGCCTGACTTCCAGAAGAGCAAAGCATCTGCAGCTCCCAGCTCAGGGGACAGGTCGCTGCTCCTTTCACTGCTCAGTCCGCAGTATGTCTCTTGCTGTATCCTGCTCAGAGTTCTGCTGTTAACAGGGGGTGGGACTACCTGATGAATCATCACCTAGTGAGGATCATCCGAGAACAGGCAGGAGGGGAATCATGCTTTCTGGGCCTCGTGTTTCTCCGGGTGGCTGGCACCACCACCCTGGTGTAAAAATGGGCATGGAGGTGCCAATGAAACTGGGGACTGCACACTGAGTTCTGTTTGCCTAGGAGGAGTGGATGCTAAGCTGTGTTTGTTTTGGTGTCTGAGGCGGTTGGAGCAATAGGAGAGTCCTGGGGCTGACCGAGTTTGCTCAAGGAAACAAGGCAGGTGAGGCAAGATCTTTTATTGGACCAGCTTCTCTTGGCAAGAGAGGCAGTTTTGAGTTTATCTCCGCGGTCTCAAACTCACAGCCCTCAGGCCATCTAGGGCCAGAGCATTGTTACAATCTGGCCTAGGCATCCTTGCAGGGCCAGGGGGGCAAGGGCATGTCTGTATCCATTCCCCAAGCCTCCCCTTCCTGCCCTAACCTCTTACCCCCATTGCACCCCTTCTCGCAAGGCATGCGGCCTTGGAATTACGGGGGGGGGGCCTGGGATGGGGTGACAGCAGGGGTTGGGCCCTACACAGTCACTAGGGTTGCCAGGTGTCCGGTATTGTACCAGACTGTCCGGTATTTGCACTCTCTGTCCGGTAAACATGGGTCATGTCCGGTATTTTCTGATTTTTCCGGCTGCGCACCCGACGGAAGCCTGGTGTGGGCGGGGGAGCAGCTGGGAGTCCCAGCTGGGAGGCGGGGCCGCGATTGCTGCCGGGAACCTTCAACTGGTTGAGTGTGAGGAGGAGGGGAAGCTTCCTCCTCGCTCTTACATCACCGGGAGCCTGCGCGGGACAGGCAGCAAGTGCCCAGGTCAGTCCCGCTCCCCACCGGCTGATTTGCTCACCCCCCCCTTCCCGGCCAGCCAGTTCTCCCCCAATTCCCCTTCGGATCTCCCCCGGCCAGCCCCTCTGCACTGACCCCTAGCTCTGCTTCCCGCCAGCCCGTTCCTCTTCCTTGTCTCTCCTGGCCAGTGCTGCTGCACCTCTCCTCCCCCCCGCCAGTTCTCCTCCTGCTCCCCCTTCCTCCCGGCCAGCACCGCTGCACCTCTCCCCATCCTCACCAGCTGTGCTTCCCACTCCCCCTTCCTCCCAGACAGTCCCGCTGCCCTCCCCTCCCCCCC